CTTGTAATGGTTCTTTATGATTAAATAAATAAACGACACCAACCTGATTGCGGGATTAAAAAAAAAAAAAAAAAAAAGATATATATGAATACAGTAAAAAGGTTTTTCTTTATTTGGAGATTGCTTACATAGGTTTTACTCAATAAAGCAAAGGATTTAATCAAAGAGGTTTTTGCCATCCTTAAAGTATCCATCCTTTTATGGAGAGTTAATTGACTCCTTGCATTCTGTAGAAAACTAAGATGAACTTTTTTCCAGAAAGAGATTCTCACTCGCTGTTTACTGTTTACTATTCATATTATTATCAAAAAAGAAAATTTTTACGAATTGAAGAATTATAGAAAAGATTTTTTTTTTAAATTTATTTTTAACAATAAAAATATTAATTTAATAAAAAATCTTTTATAATTTAATTGTTTATAAATAAAAAAATAAAAATATTTTTTTTATTAATACTATATTGTATAGTGTTTTTATAATTTTTTTATAATTTATTATAATTGTTATAATAAAATAAATAATATATTAATTGTTAATTAATAATAAAATTTTATATTATAGATAAGATATTAGAATTTAAATAAAATTTTATTTGATTAAAATAAACAAACATGTATTTTTAATTTATTTTTTTAATTTATTTTTATATTTAAATATTAAAAATTAAAAATCTTTGGTATACAAATAAATAAAATAAAATAAAAAATGTTAAGAAAAATAAAAAATTTTGAATTGGATTTAATATTATTTACATAATTATAACATTAATTATATTATATTTATTTTTATTTAATTCAGTTTCAAATGAATTTTGTAATTAATATTAACTATATAATACAAATAGTTATTTTATTTTTTGTTATAATCCTTTTTGTTTTTATAATTTTTTGGGTTTTTTTTATTAATATTTATTTTTAATTAAATTTTTTACAAAAGTAGATATAATTATTTATAAATAAAAACAGAGTTAAATAAATATAATTTTGTGTTTTTTGATTATTTGATCTTAATTATTATTTATAATTATTTTAAAAAATAATTTGATAAAAAATTGCCATTTTATTAATTAAAATAAAAAATTTATATTTGTCAATATTAATTTTATTTGAGATATAAAAATTTTTTCTTTGAACAATTTCTGTTAATTATATATATATTGTAATTATCTTTTGATTATTAGTCTAGTTCATTATATAGTTTTTACAATAGAGTAAGATTGCATAATAATATAATGAGAAATTTTTTTAAAACAATAATTTATAAGAGTATTTAAAAATTCAAAAGAATAAAGAATTTGATCAATTGTTTTTTTATCCTCAATTAAGTAAGTAAATAAAATTTAAATATTTTATCAGAAATGAAATCAAGTATTTGTTGATTAATCTTTTTTACATTCATATTTTTTTATACAAGAATTATAATTGGACTTATTTGTCATTGCTTATTTTTCTAATAAATGTTCTAAACAACAAAAAAAAAATTAAAGCTTTTTGTTAAAAAATAGAACAGATAATTTATTTTTCTAAAAACAATAAATATGAAATTCATAATTTTATTATCAGTAGTCATATTTTCAAGATCCAAAGACACTATTGCATATTCGAATATTATTTTCAATTATCCTTTTTTCTTATTATCGAAGACTTTCTAAAAGATCTTGTATCTGAAGATCATCCAAAAGTAAAGCCACATTCTATTCTTCGAAAAATACCGAGCCCATGTGATATTAAAAATATGAATTTATTGTTACATGAGGGACATGTTTTATTTAACATATAATCTTATACGGTATTAATCCTAAAATCCAAAAATGCTAAAATAAAAACGACACTATAATATTTTGAACTTCTCGCAAAAGTGATCATATCTTAAAAGTCCCGGTCGACCAAACACACACTCATTGGCTTTGTAGACAAGGAGCGTAATAAACTCGGTGAGTATAATTTTCATTTGGCAAGTCGCTGACAATTAGGGTGAATTATATTTTATTATCGTTATTAATAAATGCGTATGTAATTCTTCGCTCATCCGAAGGTATGTTTTATACTATTAAAGATATAATAAATGGTAGATACTGTATTAGAATAAATCAATAGATCTTTGGATATAATAACCGGATTTTCGTTAAATGTGTTAATTAAAAACTAATAAAAAAAAAATGTGAGAGAGAGAGAACTCAATAAAAGAAAGAAAGTAAGAAATTAATATACTGTAATGCAAATAACGCACTACTGTTTAATTTTGTGTGACCAATGCACGGGCTGAAGGACGATCATGATTCTGATCGTAATCTGTAAAAGGTGCAACTATACAAATATAGCCTGTGGGAAGATCTTTTAGCAAAGCTCCTGTTTGTATAAGAAAATCAGTGTTTGGGGGATATGGACCTTTGACAAAATTGCAAATCCCGCCGCTAAATCCGTAGTCCCATGTATAATCAGAGTAAGTTATCTCAATAAACAATTTAGATTTGTCGGTAAGTTCATCAAGATTTCCGGAAATGTTAAAATAAGCTTGCTGATTGGCCACTAAGTCGTGTGGTTGGGTTACTACAGTGAGAGGCTTTAATCTATCATCCCATTTTCTGAAATTAGTGGTTCTTTTGACGAGTCGATTTGGGACGGCCTCGATGGTTGAGATCGCGATCAATAGAATAAGTAATAAAAATAATTTTGGGTTCATTTTTTGTGGCTGTCAAAATATATTTTGCTAGAATATTGCTGAATGTTACCCTTTTTATTGAAAAATAGCGAGCAATACACTACTCTAAATAAGTATAAAAAAAATCAAGGTAATTTTTTGTAACAAACCGATGTATATTAATTCAGATTGATTTTATTACTTATTTGCATCCCCATTCCACAAATTTGTTCTTGCGGTAGACTCCAAACGTCTTATCCGAAACAGTGTATGCCTATTTCACAAGGATTTAATGGGGAAAACTTGACCGCGATGAGGATAATTGTAATGGCAAGTAATCATCACGAAATTTGGATTTGTTCTTGGATTTGTAGATCCATCTTAATATTATCGTTTCGTTAAAAATCAATATACTACTATACGTAGTACAGTAATACAGCACATGTTCATTGACTGCGCTGGTCGTTTCCATGAAAAGTTATAGTAATCTGCGCTCATTTTTTCTAATTCGCATAGTACTCGCATATGGTAAAGGTTAACTTTTTAAACATCACAGTTTAACATTAATAATTATCATATGAAGGATGTTGTGTGATTTATTCAACGGTACAGTATTTTAAAATACGTAAGCATGTGTATATGAAAATAAACACACGATTACCTAAGAATCGTAAAAATAAACAACAAATTTCGTTTGTACTTTAATAAATTGTTTTTTTTTTTAAATAAAAAAATTATCCAATTTTTATCAAAAGTTTATTATTAATATATACTGTAGTTTTAACAATCAAAAATTTATAATAGAACTATTTTCTATTTTCTTGATAAAAAATTTTTTATTACAGTATTATTACTTTAATTAATGATAAATCAATTACAGTATTTTGTAGACGTTATATACTTACAGTCTATATTAACGTTTTGTCTTTTTTCAAATTCTTTATTAATCTCAACTCCTCTTTTCATTCACATCTAATGATACGATAATTACGATGAAAGAAAAGTAATAATCTAACTTACTCTTGTGTATGATTAATAAGCAATACAGTACATATTTGCACAAACCATTAAAAAATAATCAAGATTTTTTTCTTGAAGCGTTAAAATCTTTATCGCTTGTTTAAAATAAGATGAAAAGAAAAAAATCCGTTTTTGAGAGGAAAAAGCTGGGAAACTTCGAGTTTTACCGAGACTGGTTGACAGATCATCCTCCACACCGGGAGGAAAGATTAGGTCACTTGACCGAGCAAGAAACAAACGTTCTAGAGTCGAACAAGTAGATCTTATGATGCATTGATTCAACTAAACCAAAAAAAAAGAGATTATTTTCGATTTCATTTATATTGACGGTTCTAATGTTGCTTGAGATGTCCTATCCGATGTCATTTTGTCCTGGAGTTTGCTTAAAGAAAATGGAATTCTAATACTCGACTATTACCAGTGGATTTTTCCAAAGAAGAACGGTCGATCGATACCTTCACGGAGTGTTACCAATGGAAAATAGAAGTTCTCGCTATGTATTATCAAGTAATTATTCAAAGGTGACAAGATTGGCGGACTGATTGCAAAAAAAAAAAAAAAACAGATTAGATTAATAACACTGCTTACACGAAAAGGACCAAAGAACAAAAAATCTACCAAGGAACTCACCTTCCGATGAATATTGCATTATAGTATCATTGCTACATTTACTTCTTTTGGTCTTCATAATTGCCAAACTTTATTTTGCTAAAATATCCTGATTACGTTTTGTTTACTGTTTGAGTTACTGTAACTCTAGCATCAGAAATCATGCTTATTTTGTATCTCGCTAAAAAGAAATTCAATTGTGGAATTTTTTTCTTTTTGGTATTGATAACATCGCCACGTTGTACAGATTCCTCAAAAACTTAAATGTAATTTAATAGCCGACTTTGGAAAAATAACACTTTAAAAGGTATATTCATTTACGTGCAAGAATACATATACGGTACGGTATCTAAAATATTTTGTGATTTGATAAAGGAATTGTCAAAATATCTTGGTAAGCACGTAAAAGTGAAAATTGGACTCCCTATTAGGAATAGACAGGTGAGATTTAGATCATTTCAATCATATCACTGTCCGTTGATTCCATTAGTAGTGATTTCGGTGCATGCATTGAATCCTTTTTTATTAAAGAAGTCGCACAATAGACGAAACGAGCCACCTTTTGTTTTTCAAATGGCACAACTATAAAATTGGTAACACTTGTGATTCGCGTGTTGCCCATATACATGCTATTCGCTGTTCTTGACCAAAGCGAATAATGACCGGCAACAGCGAGATCTTTAAATTACTCGGGCAAAAATCCCCCTACAAACGCAAACGGCGTGTGAGGTTCGATTTTATGAAAAATAGAAGGAAAGTTAATGGTAGTCATGATGGATTTCAGAGCCCTGAATACGAAATCCCGCTACCCAAATTTAAGATCCCTCAAAATTTGAAAAGAATTTTTGTCAAGTCCGAACCAGATGCTCTTTTGACTAGCGAACTCAAGGATCTTCGGTTAGATAGCATCAATTATGAGAACTTCTTTAATACTCTTCTCTTCGCGGAAGAGTACCAGATGATAAATGACATTATGCTGTATGATCAGGAAGGTGTGGAAATGAAAAAAAGGGATCGTTTTTTCATATTGCATGTGCCTGGACTTGCAGAAAAACGACCTTCGGTCATTGTTGGAGATCATGTTTTTGTTGTGAAATGCGGGGAAGACGAAAGAGAGAAGGCATACCAAGGGTTTATTCATCATGTCGAAGAAATGAGCATCACAATAAAATTCCCGAAAGTATTTTCTTCTGTGTACTCTTCAAACACAAGGTTCAATGTCCGGTATACCTTTAATCGATTACCAATGAGAAGGATGCATAATGCTCTTAAATGTGCAGATATTATTGAACGATTATTTCCCTCGAATGAAGCAAGAACACACTGCAATATTGATAAAATCATGCAGAAAAATAGCTTCGAAACTATCAACAAAACTATTGAGAACAATATATACCAAATGCGTGCGGTAGTTCTCATCAAACAAGAACTTTATCATCCCGCTCCATTTATCGTCTTTGGTCCGCCTGGGACAGGTAATGTCTTTTTTTAACTTTTTTTTTCTCGCAAATATCTCGTATATCATTACATACACATGAAACTGTAGGCAAGTCCGTTACTATTGTGGAGGCGATGAAACAGCTTCTGAACGAAGAAAAAGGAAACGTGAAAATTCTTGTCTGTGCGCCTTCAAACTCTGCGGCCGACATACTACTGAAAAAATTGAGTACAACTTTGTTACCTGATAAGGTGGCTAGAATTAATGCCGCTTGTCGGGATATAGAAAATGTATACACCGATGAAGGCCTTCGCAGATATTGTAAAGATCTCGACCTAAAAAGCTTTGAGAATCACAAAATTATTGTGTCTACCTGTGCTACCGCTGGTTCAATACATGCGCTCGGTGGAGGTAAAAGATATACCCACATTTTTATCGATGAGGTATTGAATACGATTTAGAGTTAAACTTTTAATCGTTCCAAATAACTAACAAGCTGCTACATGATAAGGCAGGACAGGCCATGGAACCTGAAGTTATGACTGCGCTTCAAAATGCATCAAAGGAAACCAAGATTATCCTAGCTGGCGACCCAAGGCAATTGGGTCCAATTGTTAATTCTTCAATTGCGAAAAGGTTGGGTCTTGGAAAATCTCTTATTGAACGTCTTGTAAATATGGAAAATGGTCCCTATGACTTTAGCGAGACTTGCAATTACGGAGTGAAACTCCGTATGAACTATCGTTCTCATCAGGAAATCCTCAGAGTCCCGAATGAATTGTTCTACGAAAACGAACTAAAAGCGTGCGGCGACAAAAGTATCACTCATAGCTTAGTTAATTCCAGTGCCCTCCACAAAAAGAACTATCCGATCAAATTTGTAAGTGTATATGGACAAGATTTGCGTGAGGGTCACTCTCCATCTTGGTTTAATATTGAAGAGGCCGCAGAAATTCTTAAAATAGTGCAGGAACTCGTAGAAAAAGATAATGTCAGAAAAGAAGATATTGGCATAATCACTCCTTATTGTAAACAAGTTGAAAAGATCAAGACATTGATGGAAGATAACAACTTTGAAGGATTAGATATTGGTACCGTGGAAAATTTCCAGGGACGCGAACGACTTGTGATCATCATTTCTACCGTTCGTTCGACACCTAAAAATTTGGAGCATGATGGAAAGTTTCGTCTTGGATTTCTCAACGAACCAAAACGATTCTGTGTTGCTGTCACCCGGGCACGGGCCTTTATGGCAGTTGTAGGAAATCCAAACTTACTATTTTCGGATGAATATTGGAAGAGATGGTTGAAAGAAGTGAATATAAGGGGTGGTTATGTTGGAGAACCGTTCCCAAAGGAGACCGATGATGGTGAAGAGCAACAATAAAATGTCACGCCTATATTCTTTAAATGTTACCATTTACAGTACATCTATTTTTTAATAATCCAAAACTTAGTAATGTTGCCGCGTACGTGCACAGTGAAATTTATTACTGCAATAACCGTTATATAGGACGCAATTATTCTCTTTTGTGTTTATTAGAGGTGCATTATCACTATAGTTAAATGTTAATTTATGTTCTTTTAATTTAATTCAAATAATCTTATAAGGTGTGAGATCCTTCAAGTTAACTTTCCAATTTCCCATGTATTATTTATTAACTTCAGAAAGTAAAAATGAATAAATAAAAACTTTGCTCTTTAAAAAAATCGCATTTGAAAATAATAATTATCACTTTAAAATGCAAAAAAAAAAAAAAAAAAAAAAATTTTTAAATATATACACTACGTAAACAAAGTATTGCATATCTTGGATTTTATTTAAAATTTTAATGTTATTTTAAAAAAACATGTATAATTTTTATGTTTTTCAATAATAAAAATGAATTTGTAATATTTAAAAAAAAAATACT